TTTCTCATGGTCTGTAAAAGAAAATCCGCTTCATGGCTGCATTATTAAATGTATGTTAACAATGGTTAGTATGAAATGTTTGATGCAGTTACGAAGCCTTGAATTATGAACTGATTTTCTCCCAGCACATGGAATTTGTAGCCCTTTACCTTTGGTCTGCACAAAACTGAAAGTGATTTACGTAGTTAAACCACAGAGATAGGAAGCAGAGATCTCTGTGAGGACACTTGTCTTCTACAGATTCTTCTTCCATATGCAGTGGTCACTATTAAAAGTCCAGAGTTTCAGTATCTGGTCCTTTCTTCCAGTGGTGCTGCAGTCAGGGTTAAGAGCAGTAGCAAACACTGCAGCATTTCCATTTGAACAGGACACTTGTGTGTTCAAGCTTTGGGAACGGCTTATATAGTGGCCCTGAGTCAGGTCAGAGCTGTTCCTGTGGTCAAGTATAATGGCCTTCACTTAGCTGAGGACTGATGCAGGCAGTCACTTCTGAAATTGAAAGCATGAACCCTCACAGCACGTCGCTGCAGAATCAGGGTTTCATAGCTACCTCTCACCAGTGACTGCTGGGTTAGACAGGAAGCTTTCTCATCCCCTGCCGTGCCACAGAAGGGCTTTGGGCTTCTCAGAGTTCGAGCAGATGAAGGTCTTAAATCTGAGGCAGGTCAGTGAGCCTTGAGAGGCTGATTTACCTCATCTGTTCTGTGTCGAGGAGACTCTCCATAGGGAGATGCTTGCTCCTTGCGTGTGACTGTGAAGAAGTCCTGGGATGACTGATTTGGACTTGGGCAGCAGTGAAGTGAGGGTAGCAGAATTCCACAATCACCCATCCTGTAGGGCCTATTTTAATCAGCTTTCTGCATACTGTTTCTGTTTGGCTTTATTTTTATAAAGCTTATCGCTAACATGCAACAGCTCAAGTTCTTATTACATGTTACAAACTCCCTTAGCAGTGCATTAATATCTCTGTAATGGCTTAGTTAAGAATAAAAGTGAAAGCTTCTAAAGTACAGCAATTGCAAAACGTCTGTGCTCTTTGCTTGCTTCCCTTTAGTAAGTCTGGCATGAAATCCTGCAGCTGAGATTTAGGTGGCATAATCTTTACAGTCTCGTCAAAGCTATGGATACAGCTGATTGCATGCAGCAAGGAAGCAATGCTAAGCTTGGTTCAATGTGCTCACTTGTTTTCATGATCCCCCTTTTTCCATGGGCCCAGCATGGCAGCTTGGGTATGTAGAAAGAGGTTTTTCCTTATTTAAAAGGCAACTACTCTGGGTTTTGCTTTGCTGCTTCTTAAGTCTCTTTAAGCTCATTTCTAGGTCTATTAATTGTTCATTTTACCTTAATTATATTTAGTCCACTATCCTCGCTCTTTCTTTGGTGAAGAATGCTGTTGTTTATGAGTCAAAAACTATTTATAAAAGAGTCTGGTATCCTCAGAAAGAAGGGCATTGGGGGAGCTGTTTTAATTATTAAAAGAAGCTTTGATTAGAGAGAATGAGTTAATTTAACAGGTGCAACTGGTTTTCTCTTTTTTGGCTAGATGTGCAGAAGAAGGCATCCATTAACCTGTCAGTCCTGGTCTGAAACTGTAGGACTCACTCAAGTGCCCCTGGAGACGGGCAGATTACTTCTCTGTCTGTTGAATGGTATGAACAGTGCTGGATGGCATGGGTGGCTGGGGTTGTTCTGTAGTCACACATGATAGAGATGGACAGTTGACATACTCCCACTGATGTGAATTCTCACTTCAGGTGTATTTAGCACAGTGAAGATCATGATTAAGTTTTTGGGGCATATTCATTGCTACATAAAATGCAGTGCTAAAAATATTGTATTTCACATACAAATTGTCTGCCATACCATAGTGCCACTCTGAGAGCTTGTATTTATTTTCTCCATGCAGAGAGATTGTAAGTTCGTATATTCCACACAACTGTTTATTGTTGGCAGCCAAACTCATAACAGGCTGTTGACTCATCTGTATTTGTTTCCCCCAACTTTTACAGGTCAGCTAAACAAACGGTGTCCCAATGAAAGCAGCAGCTTTGATACCCTGTCCAGAACCCCTACTGGTATGGATGTGAATGCGCAGGGCCAAAAAGCAAATACTGGCAGGTGCTATGATGTCAAAAATGTCAGCGTGACTACTCTTTGCTAGGAACTCATCAGTTTTTCATCCCTTCCTCCTCCAAATCCTCCCAAGTCTGTTTTCATCTAGAAGAGAAGGGAGCTGGGGAGACTTAAGAGCATTTTCTTTCCTGCTTGTGTCTCTCCGCACCTTTTCTTTCTCTTCTCTGAGGTGCCTAGATTCAGTTTAGACAAAAGCTAGAATTCTTGAGGAAAAAGTGAGATAAGGGAGAAAAAGTAACCTGAAGGGCAAGTCAAAAAAATGCAAGATCTCATTTGAAGGCCATCATCTTTTCCCATTACGTGCTTCTACGGTGCATAGCACAATTGTAGGTTCCTAGAGAGTGACCCATTACAGCTAAATACCGTTGTGGCAGCCTCTGGTAAAAAGAATGAAATAAGTATACAACATCACGGTAGCTTGTGCAAGTCTCTATTTAATTACAGTGCTGGCTGAGGACATTTGTTGGTGTCACATGTTCTGGTTATGGGTAACATACATTCCTAACTCTTCGGTGAGAGTCACATTTTCACTGGAGATTTTCACAAGAGAGATAGTAGCTATTTGTCTGTTTTAATTTTTATTTTAGCAAGATTTAATAAGCTGGTTAGAGCTATTGTAATTTGTTTACTCTTCAATCAGGAAGATACCTGACATCCTGACTGTAGTGGGAGCAAGCAGGCAAGCACAGAATACAGTGCAGCCAGAATTTACCAGCTTCTTAATTAAAACTTGTTTGGAGGGTGCAGAGAGCCACGCTGTCTTCAGTGAGCTGTGAATCACAGGGAGGAAAAGCCGGAACAGAAAGTCACAATAAGTAGAACTGAAGCTTCACTTACAAATGATTCACAAAGCAGGGACCATAGCAAGGGTCTCTTACAATTACTTCCAAGTAGAATTCACTTTGCAAACTTTCTTCAGGAGCAAAGAAATAAGATCCTCTCATTAAGGTGTTAAAAATATATCAGTGCCCTTGCCATCATCACTATGTCCTACCATCATAAGTCCTTAAGAAGGCTGTATTTTTTAAGGGGGAGGTTCCAGTCAGGACTGCATTTGCCAGGCTCAGATCTGTGGACGAGAGGCCTTAGCGTCCTGCCTCGTGCCACTGACCCTCATTGTAATTCACAGCCATTATTTGTTTCTAAAAGCACTTTCCATCACAACTGAGGAGCTGGTTGTTGTGTGCTAGGTGCCATACAAACAGTTTGCAAAGACAGTCCTTGCTCTTGGAATTAATTTATTTGTTGTAAAGCCAGAGGTGATGACATGTTCCTGTCCTGCTCCTGCCTGGCTTCTAAGACAGTTATGAAGGCTTGATTCATGGGTGGAAAGTGCTGTATTTTGTTGTTTTTAAATGTGGATGTTTTATGGGAAAGAAAAACTCGCTGTGAAGGAGATAGCATATGTGGCATTACCACCTTTCCAAGAACAGTGGAATATAGACATTCCTATAGGATACCTTTGAGTCCAGAGTGTTGGAAATGAACAGCTTAAACTCATTGGTAGTTTTTCCCAACAGAAGCTTAATCTCTAGGAAATGATACCTGGCTTTTTTGGTCCAAGTTAGGAAAGATATGAAGGACATAGGCCCTTTTTCAGTAGCTCTTCTTCTCCATGACATTTTGGGAGATGATCAGGTTCTGCCTTTGGATTTAGAAACAAAATTTTCAAACAGGGTAAATTGTATCTAAGGTAATGATTTTGTCCCATTATGGGTTGTCACTGAATATGACATAAAATTACAGCACCAAGTTAAGACATTATTCACTTTCCACTTATTCTGAGGGCTCACACCAGGTTTTAGTACAGCACAAATACCGCCTGTGGCAACTTCCAAATGCTTTAAGGCTTTTTTGTATATATGCATATTTCTTTCTATTCTGATCCAGCTCCTCAACTGGTAATTCACTAAATCACATGGCACTTTTTTGCTTTGCAGTTGCTAATATGTTAGAAAATTGAGCAGAAGTTTGTTACTATTTTTTCCACAAAAAACACTGGCTTTACGTTATTCTTTGAGTCTTTCAATTAAGACGAATCTGAATTGATTCCTGTCACAGGGTGAAGTTCCTTGGTTAAAACTGGAACAAAAAGAACAGATAACGTCCTCCTCTCTTTGATTCTTGCGCCTGAGATCTCTTGAGTTTGTGTTTCCAATTTTCTGATGGAAAAAAAGATTTGACAGTTTCCTGTGCTTTTGTAAGAATTATTATTTTTTTCCTTGCACATAATCCTGTTAATGTTCAAGGTGCAAAGGCTCCCTAGTTGGGCATTACAGTGCTAACACAGAAGAGTGAATGGCCACAACCTACATATTCATAATGTTTTTGTCTGACAGCATCATATAACACCTGGTTCAGGTTTGTAAATAAAGTGTTGCTATGATAAGCGTATACTCTCCTATTCAACCTGGTGTATAGGACCTATTTCTGCCGAGGTTATATGTTAAAATCCTTCACTAAACTAGTGCACCTCTAGGCAGCTGTAGGATCACTTTTCATTTAAATTTATAGCTATGAACAGACCTCAAAAAGCCATGTGCAAATGTTATCCAAGCCTATGGGCTAAATACTAATAGCATTGGTTATCGGCCTCTACCAGGAACAAAAGGATTAGATGGGAAACCTTTGGATCAACGTGGAACTGCTGTTTCAATTTAAGGAAAAAGCTGAGAGTATGTAATATAGCTACTTGACATAATCTCTTCTTGATATACAGGTGGAACACACGAATTATATTATTGGCACAGCCCATCCTACAGGAAAATGCTTTGTTAATATTTTAGGAAAACAGTAGTTTTTGTCTGTTCTGAAACAGAAACCATGTGTGAATATTCCACAGACTGTGCACAGAGAGAGAAGGAATTATATTGCTCTCCAGATGATTGTTTTAAAATCTTCAGGTAATTAGAACTTGGGAGCCTGCCTTTGCATATGGCAATGGCAATCATCTAGCTATCCAGACCATACAGTAATTTCTAGCCAGACCTATTTCCATGTCATTTTATTCATCTCACTGTAGGTTATTTACAGAGATATTGCAAAAAATATTGTGAACTGAGTACAGTTAGTAAGCAGAGCATGGATTTGGCAATGCCCAAGTCAGTGTGGTGCAATTATGCTGTTGATGGATTTTCAACTGTTTTGAACCATGAAATGTAGATAACAGAGGTTAAGGGATGCTAGAAACATCCAGACCTTTCGAGTCCAACCTAGACACAGGAGCACATCCAGCTGGGGGCTTTCTTGGGCTTTTGTTTTGGCTTCTTCCAAAACACACAGTCTTTATGCCAGTTACTCTTAACAATCTAAATTAGGCACAATGTCGCTCTGCACACTCTCTGTTGACAGACATAGGCAAATCATAGCTTAGGCGTTCCTTGACTTCATAGCACCTTAAGGTTAGGTGAGAAAACCTGGACCTAACTTTCACTTGTCCAGTTTCACATCTGAGATGGGCATGGCTCCAGATGCCTCACCTAGCACACTCTCTTCATATTTCTACATTCACCACACTATCACTCCTCAGTTAATTTTGCAGCTTCTTGTAAGAGACTGGAGATGAAATGCTGATTGGTGGGCCAAAATTGCTGCTGGGCTGGCTGATGATAGATGATAGTTGATATCCTATTTAATCTGAGCACATACCATGCAAGACAAGGTATCACGTCTTGAGTTTCTCCTCTTGTTTATTTTTTGGCTTGGGCTTCTGTTCAATTCATCCTATTTATTCATATTTACATTGATGTAATGGTCCCATATGAGACATATGCTCCCCATCTTCCTTCTGCCCATTGCTTGTGGGCCCACATTATTGCAGGGTTTGAATCTGTAGGTGGCAGAACCTTCTTAGTCCACCTGGGGTTCTCTGAAAGCTTTTTTCCTCAAGGCCTCAGCAGTTTAATACTGGACAAGTCAGCTGCAGGTGAAGGCAAAGCTATTGCGTGGGCTTTCCACAAGCTCTGTCTGTCTGGCTCCTATTGCAAAGCGGAAAAGATGTTCTCATCTTTGGTGAAGATTGTATCAATGACATAACACGTGAGCCAATAGTGGCAGTGACCCATCACTACCTGCACGTGGCTCTGCAAGTGTCTGTTTAATGCACTCAAGGTTAGTTGGCCATAGGCAAGTATCAAGTGAGCATGTCTCAGTTTTTGCTTCTGCTTTAAACACAGTGTGAGGGTAGCTCTTAAAAGTGCCCTTGGGATTGGTCTCCCAGAGTCCAAAGGTCACCTCGAGGGATGAGAGAACCTCCCGCATGAAGGTCGTCATTGCATCCTGACCAAGAGGTGTGGGGCATGGCACAGTTGTAACACTGTAGGCCTTGTGCCCAATACAAGAGCTTGAGATCTCCCTATGGCTCCCCATTTGTCTGTGTGCGTGTATGGCATTGGTTTCTTTTCTCTCATTCTTAAAAATGTGGTTACTGCTTTTTTCTTTTAACAGTGGAGGATCTTCATGAAAGCCTTACGAAATTCAATGTTGAAGGTGGTGTAAATAATTGGGTTGACAGCACTGTTGACATATCCAAGCCACGTAAAGGCGCTGTACATTGCTGGAGGGATGTTGCAATCGCAGTGCATGTTCAGGATGTGAGTGATGAAAAATGGGAGCCAGCAGATGATGAAAACACCTGGGGGAAAAGGAGAGAGACAAACTTTGATTGTTGAAAGGTGGAAAATTTGTGAGACTCTCAGAACAGTGAGATTCCTTAGGATGGTAAAGGAAAAGAGATTCCCTGAGCAATATGCCTTCAGTTTGTCTGTTACAGTTTGTCGTCATTATTCTGATTATCCAAGCACTAAAGGTCTTCTGTACTGATGTAAGTAGATCAGTTACAAAAAAAACTACGGCCTTAAGAGGTACCACTTTCATACTGAACTATGCTGCCCTTTGTACTATAGCTATATTAGAAAGCCCATGAGCTCTCTCACCCCTGCACCTCACTGTGCTTTGGCAACCAAAATGCCCCACAGCTGGAAAGCTTTCTGAGCCTTTTGTACACCAATGAGAACCTTTCCTATCTGGAAAGAAGGTAGACTCCCTGTTAGGAGTCTCATGCCTGCTTTCACAGGCATATCTTCTGATTTATCCGATGAAGCTGTTTCTCTGGAGGCCACTGCAAACTATTTACACCTCCATCATTTCTCCCTGCATCTCTGCGTCAATTTTCTATCTGTTTTATACGTTATCTTTTTCAGTTATTCCCTGTGTCTCCTGCATGTTACACCAGAAGGTACATCTGCTACATGCCATATGCCTGGTCAAATGGTCTATGTTGCACATCCAGACTGGATACTTAGTCCTGGGTAGCTGTTGGCTTTCTACAGAAAGACAAAGAGGAAGCCAGAGCGCACTCTTACCAAGTACAATGGCTAGCATCTGAGTAGCTTTCTTTTCCTTCTGTTGTGACAGTTTTCTCCTGCTCACAGTCTTGAGAGAGGTCCTTGTCTTTCCATTGGGCATAGACTGGATCTCAAAGACCTTGGCTGTTTGGGAGGGTTCTTTGGCATGTCCATTCTTCTCTACTTTCACAGGGCTGTCCAAGGTTGCCTGCAGGGTTGAATTGGTGCACTGATTGGAAGCAACTGGCACAATCAGCTGATGGTTGCTTGGTGCAGCTGGTTTGAGAGTGGTCTTCTCAGGAGGACTGGTACTGGACACCATCTCCATTTCCATCTCCTCTATGTGACTCTCTGCCTCCTGGACAAGAATCAAATACCCACAACATAGAAACAGATAAATATACAGGGAGGAGCAATGAACAATTATTACAGAGTGAAGCTGGATGCTGCTGAGGAATGATCACCCCTCTTCTTGCCCTCTCCCTTTTTTGGTGGATGCTTGGCTGTTAATTGTTCACATGGGAGAATACATTTGGGTAGATGAGATTGACAGAACTGCGGTGAATGGCACTGAGGCCTTTATTGTACAAAGAGGCTAGGAGATGGGAGAGACATTGTCTCTATGCCCCCATGTGTTTCAGTTAGGTTTTCAGAGGAAAAAAAAAATCAACAAGCAAAACCCAACAAAGCCAATGCAGTTCAACGCTCTAAATAATAAAGAGAAGAAGAAAATCAGAGACACAAATTGTTAAAATGTCATGGCTTTTATAGCTGATCTTTAGGTGAGCTTTGTCTGGCTTTTTGAGCTCTCTGATCTTAAACTCTCTGCTTCACTCTAAGGAACAGGAAGAATATTTAAATTTTGCTATTGACTGTTAACCTTTGCTCTTAGCTTATTTTTCTCCCACCCTACATAAATTCATTGTGTATCCTGGAAGGGGAACAGGGAAAAGCTGAACGCTCTGGAAAGCTACCACTTCTCTTTAATACTCACCACTTGGCGCTTATTAACTTGGAAACTCCCATTGGACTTCACAATAACTGTGCAGAGCTTCACATCTTCTGGATGAGTGCATTTGTCCTAAGGGGCAAGCATCAGCTCACAGGTTATACAAGCAGATAGTAATTAGGAAGGGAAGCTGGTAAGGGAGGCACAGGGAGATATAAACAGAGGGCACGATGCAGAAATTAATCAGTGTGACTAAGGCACTAAAAGTGATGGAAAAGTACTCCGAAAAAGGAGTCGTGGAGGCAGGAGAAGGAAACTCCAAAGATTTGTCATGTTTCAGTCCACCCCTGTCTTTCTGCCTCTTTTTCTTCACAATGGAACTGGCTTCTGAGGCAGTTACTAGGATGTAATTTGCAGATGGTGCCTCTGGGACTATACATTCCTACTAATCATTTTGTACATCTTGCCAGATGTACAAAATGCTTGCCAGACTCTGACAAGCAGTCTCACACTTAACATGCTCAACCTCACTTCACTTATCCCATGCTTTGCAAGGCTGTTTTTCACAACTGTGCTTCAGTGGTATCATACCAGTGATGTAGTTTATACAACAGCCAAGCAATGTCCATGGAGCTTCTTTGTCTTAGTCAGCAGGGCTGACTCAGGAAATGATGAAGCCTGTAGGCTGGGGTAAGTCTTAACACCAAACCAAAATCAGCAGAATCAAAAGAAATGGGATGTGGTCAAAGAAGTGGTTCCCAGTGCAGATTTGCTGATGAAATATCCCTGAGATCCAGGGAGGCTTGTGAAGCATCAGCTGATGACCTGATAATCCCCAGTGTGCAGCTGGGATTTCCCAGTAGCATCAGAGACAGCATCCACCTTTGTGAGCCAACATTTCACACGCCCCAGACAGTGTCATTTGGGGAGAGGAGGAGGTACTTTGGGGAAGGAAGTGGAGCAGGAAGGGAAAAGGATGGAGTTGGGTGAGAGCAAGGGAGGAGGTCTCAGTACCTTCAGCGGGGCCTGTGTGTCAGAATCCAGGGCATGGGTGCTGCGCTTGGTGTTGACACGTTTCCTGCGTTTCCGGAGCACTATGTAAATCTGTACGTACACCAGCAGGGTGACGATAAAGGGAACGTAGAAGGAGACGATAGAGGAATACACAACAAAAGCAGGATTGGCAATGATACACTCATTTTCATCTGGAAGACAAAAAATTTCGGAATCATCGTCCCGGCTGTTAGGAGCTAGTACGAGCGTTCCCCCGCCCCGCTCTCTCTCTAATAGAAAGCACAGAGATATCCTGAGAAGGAGGGGTTCTGGAGGAACCATCACGTCTGCTGGAAGTGGTGCAAGACCAGCAAATACCACTTGGATCACAGGGAGGCCCAAGGTCTCCAGCTACTGACTGGCTTATAACAGAAAGCATACAAATCCCATGCAGTATGTGATCCAGACTTCCTATGAAACCGGTGGCAGAACAGCCATTTCCTTTCTCCTGTCTCAGTGAAGCTATTTGTCACATGTCTGTCTTTGTCACATGTGTTAATAAATAGTGATTTTTTTTTTTTAAATCACTGACGAGTGTTATGTAAGCTTCAACATAACCTCTGTTCTGAGGTATCTATAGTGCTGATCTGGAACAGCAAGAGATGAAACAGATCCGGAAGCAGCTGCCAGAAATATCCTGGGCTAGCATGGAGAGAGGATACCTTAAATTGGGAGGGATGCATTCTAAAACACCTAAAACCTGAATCCCATGTTTATTCCTGGCTCTGTAACAGAAGTCCATCTAGGGACCCAGTAAAGCCAGGAAGATGCCGATAGCCAGCTCTAGACAACGTAACACTCACCTGTGTTATTGAGGCCAAACAGGATTGGGCAGGAGATGGCAAATGAAAGCACCCAGACCACTGAAATCATTACGGTGACCCTGCGCTTCGAGCTGTAGCGGGTATTGTACAGCATTGGCATTGCTACTGCTGTGTACCTGCGATGTGAAGATACAAACTCAGTCTTTGGTTATTCTGCTAGGGCTGATAAATCCTGTATCTGAAAGCCAAGCCAAGAATATAGGGCAAGTCAGGTTTCATGAAACTCCAAGTTTCCTGTTTTGGAAGGTGGGAGGCTGGGGTAGGCTTAGCATGTTTTTCTTTTGTGCTCTCTGAGTTACCGCCTTCCCACTGGAGCCTGTTCCATCACTTAAGTATATAAATGGAAGGACTGATCTAACAGGGATATATACACGCAGCCTAAATTCCATTTGCGTTCTCAAGACTAATGTTTCTGTGGCTGCCACTGAGTGAATCCCTGCTCAGACCCTTATTTAGGTGCTCTCTCCAAAGGCTTAAAAAGCTTTCAAAACACTTCAGCAAGACTACCTCTCACCATTGACGAGTCTGAGACATAGGTGAATTTAGACCACATAAAGATGACCTTGACCACACTCTTGATAGCCATATGGGACTTGACATGACTTGCTGCCATAGAGCCCACACCTGTCAATGCTGATGGCACAGAGATTGAGGATACTGGCAGTACACATCATAACATCAAGGGTTACAAAGATATCACAGTGGATCCGACTGAACCTCCATTCACCAACCACCTGCAAAGAGAGAGAGCATGGTCAATAAAAGTAGTCACTGGGGATGCACCGCTGAGAGAGTCTAAAGGGAGAATTTTGCACAAACATATAAAGATATTTGCTAGTACCTGGCGTTCTGCTGGTTTAAATGAGATTAACACTTTGTCCACAGAAGTTTCTGCTGGTCACGTGCAATCAATCACATCATTGCTGTGCCAAACAGGGTTGTTTGCCACAGAGCGTCTTCAGGGACTTTGTGTTGTCTACACTAAGGGTCTCAAGTGAGGGAACTGCCACAGAGAAAGTATTCTGGTCCATCTGAACCACTCTTTAGAGCTCTTTAGAGCTCTTTCCTGAGGCCTAGTGTGACTTCGTCCTTCCCAATTCCATCATGTTAATCTCTATTCAGAGCTGGGTAACCCGTATGGGAATCACAAACCTGGTCTCACATGCTCCAATGACATAAAAGAGTACAAGTCTCCTCAAAATCAGTGTGAACTATTTAGTAGCTTAAACAGGTGTCTGAAGCACTACAAAGTATCATTTGTAGTCTTGTCCATAGCACTGTCCCTAGAGTGCTAGGGACATTAATTTCATTTTTTGCAATTATACCTAGCAAAGTTCAAGAATAGCAAAGCAGGAGCATTCCTTTGTTTCTTTATTCTAAAAAGTCAGAGAAGAAATTCCTCATGTATTATTTTTCATGAACAAAATGGATTTAATTCACAGGGAAAATTCTTTGCATATATTAATATTGTGATAAAGACAGGGAACTAATGATAACATTTCTAGTTACTAACAGCCTTTTTATCTTCCCTTATCTTGTTACTGAAACCAAACTTTGACACTTAAGTTTAACAGCAATTATTAGGACTACTGTATTTGGCATGCAGTGAAAAAATCTATTTCCCTCTAATATAAATAGAGTGCTATTGCACTTGAAAATAGAATGAATAAGATAGATAGCTATTCTTCAGTTATTTCTGCTCTGATATACATAACCAGAGGCAGCATAAAGAAGGAAGAAAGAATGACTACATTGAAGTCTGAGTGGCAGATGAATGCACAGTGATTAAAAAAGCATTTAAAAGACAAAGTCACATCAGTAACTATATTTGATTAGAATTTGCCCAAAGGCAAAGGTTTCCAGCCAGATATAATCCTGTGTGACAACCAGTTTCCTGAACTCATAGTTATGAGTTTATGGGAGATGCTGTAAACTGCAGCCATTTTTTCTCTTAGCACATGCAATTACGTAGGGGAAACCTCAGAAGGTTGGAGGTAGAAGGTTTATTTCCTATTGAGCTGATTATTTCCTGTGTTTTGACATCCATTTTTGTCCCAACTTGTGACACAGACCCTAAAAAAAGAAATTACTTGCAGAATAAAAGATTCTGGCCATTTTTCATTTGAGACTGCAGACAAGAGAGGGATCGCAGCATCCCTAACCCTCATGCTTGCAATGGCTCCTTCTCTGTCAGCAAATATTCACACGTTGCTTCAAGCTGTGGTAGATAGCACTAGGTTTAGTAGAGTGTGGATAAGAGCAGACAGGGCTCTTATCAACAGAAAATCTTAGCAACCGTGAGATATATAAGCCTGCTTGGTAGATTAACAAGGCTGAGCTTCCTAGCCAATTGCATGTACTCACAAGCCCAGAAGGAGGAAAACATCTTATTCTTCCAAATTAAAATAGGGATTGTTGAGAGACTCATAGCTAAGTCCAAAAGAGTTGGAGCTTCTCACAGAAAGAGCCTCTATTTGAAATGAGTTGTTGAAATGGGGTATTAACTGCAATCGCAACTAGCCTGTGGTCATGCTAATAAGCTTTAGCACACGCACAGTGCTTTACATTTTTAAAGTGCCACACAAACAATAATTAACTGGAGTGATAATTAGTATTGTGGCTTCTCAACAGCCCGTGTCATGTCAGTGGGTTTGTTTTGCTTTGTATTAATGTTTAATGGGCTGATAACAGCTTCTTACCCCTGCTCTCCTCTCAGTTTTATCACCTTTTGTCCTAAACAAATCCTTGACAATAACTTGAAAAGTCGATGTAGTTTCAGCCTTGTGCTTTCTTGCCACCGTTCATTCTCTCCTGGTCATTTATTTTGGTGCAGGATTGTCCCCAGCTTTCCAATTCTCAGCTGACTGAAGAACAGACAACCCATGCATCAAAAGGGCCAGGGACGAAGGGCCGTTCAGCTTCTCTTACCCTTTCCTGTACAAATTTGCCATTTCATTCTTTCTAGCTACTTACTGTTGCAAGAGTCATTGGCTACCAGGTAAACATGTGGCAGTCTTGGGAATATTTGTCTTTCACAAAACACAGTGCCACTCAAAAATGGCTCTGTATGCAGAAACACAGAGAGACGCACTAACTGCAGTAATGTGACAAGTGGCTCACTTATAATTCTGTTTCTCTTATATATTGTGACATTATAGGTCTGCATTTACATCCTACTAACACAAATGCATGCTCTCCTTATTGCTGTGGTCCTTCAGAATATGCTTTTGATTACTATTGGGTGCAGTTTGTTAGTGTGACACCCATGATGTTGTTGCAGACTCATTCTTATCCTTGGGAATGCACAGTTTGTCTGTAGTTTTAAAACAAAACCTGAGGTCCTATCACTTTTGAACCCTATATTTAAAGGCTAGATTTTCAATGCAGTTGGGTTGTAATTTAGCCCTTTGAATTTTCAAATCAGCCTGTCATCTGCTGCCATGTCCACTTTCTGGAAAAATCTGATGAACTGTTAGGAAAACAAAAACCATTTTCATTTTGTGACATGTAGATGGGCCTGGACATTTAGTTGATGTCCAGGCAGCTAAACCTCTCCTCTCACTAACCACCTACCAGAAATATTTCATACTGTGAAAGAAAACTGGGCCACCTACCTCCAGATAGACCACCCAAGGCATGACCAGAGTTGCTACCAAGAGATCTGCCACTGCCAGACTCACGATCAGGTAATTGGTGGTAGTCTGAAGGGCTTTTTCCCTGGACACAGCCATACACACCAGCACATTGCCAAAAACAATAACAAAGATGAGGAGGGTGAGCAGCATGGCATAGTAATTGTATTGAGGCTTCTGGTCTGCATCAGACTCGTTGAGTGGCTTGCTCCAGTTCCTGCTGCCCATGTCACCATTGTACCAGGAGAGGTTTAGTGGATCCATGAAGGTAAAAGTGCCACGTTCCAGCTCCACCCTGCCACAAAGAAGATGTCAAAAAGACAGTCAAAGGCCAAAATCTAAAATAAAAATAAAATGATCATGCATATGCTACCTCATCTAGAGTCTTGTTGCCATCATATACGCTAGTAAGCCCTGCAAAGACTGCAGTGGCCTAAAGGGGAAAGTATGAGGCCATGCCTGGAACTGTAGGTGGTACCTCGAGCAATCTCATGTTACCAGATCTGTCTGTGCCTCAGTGGCTCTGTGTCTGATGACAGCCCTTTCAGAGTGCTGGAACAGTGCCATAAGAGTTGGCTTCAGAATAAAAGACAGACGTTTCTCCTGCAATAGCTGAAAAATGATGCTTTGCAATTTCAGAGAGAAAATTCAGAGACACCTGTACAGGGGATGATACAACTCAAGCTTTAAAAATCTTTTTAAAGGGGGAAAATTGGCACATAGATATCGTGAGAACAACTTTTCTCTTTTGCCATAGTGTCTATCCCAATTCGAAATGAAAAATATGGAATCGCTTAATTAGCACAGAATTTTTTAAAAACAAATAGCAAGCAGATAACAAAACATCTTGATCCTAGGCTCTGTAGAGCCATCTTTGGGTGTCCATACACACACACACACACACACACACACACACACACACACACACACACACACACACACACACACACACACACACACACACACACACACACACACACAGAGGCATGTGTTTATGGATGATGGGTTATCTTTCCTCTCTCGATGGACCTGCATAAGTCCCTGAATCTCATGTTCATGCACATGACAGAAAAGCCTCATTATTTACTGCTTCTTTAGTGACTGGCGCTGACTTTTCTGAGATGCTGAGTAGTTTCAAGTGACTGTCTGTACCTGTTATCCAATATCATTTGGCCAGTTCCTGCACACCTACATAGGCATATTATTCTGGATTGGTTCATCAGTAAAAGTTCAGCAATTTGATAGTATCAAACTGAAATTCATCTTGCATCCCTGTATGCTGCTGGTTTAAAGTTTTGCTTTAGCAAACACTTTATACGGATGCAGGGCGTTTTAAAGCAAATTGTATAAAGTTCCTCTAATTTAGCAGTTTTTCTGCAGGAAAAGTTTCAGACAGTATCAGTACAAAATGCAAGAGGAGATAAGCAAATATATTCATTCTAGAGAGGATGATCTTTATGCCTCTAATAAAAGCCTAGGTATCAGTCAGATTTTGACGTGTTCCTGATTTCTGGATGCAAGTATGTAATCCTTCTAATCCACTCAATAGCACTCACAGTGGGATCAAAAGGCACCTTGATGCTATTTTAGTCCGACATTGTCAGATAAGGCCTAGCTGACTGGGCGTCCCACCACACACACCATAATCCTATTTTCCAAATTATTTCCTACTATCTATGGCTGAAGCCCCTATAATGGCCTTGGGAACTACAAAGGTCACTGAGAGGTCTTAATACAAGCACAAAGTCTTACAGGAGGCAGGATGCCTCTATGTTTTAGGGCAATCGGTTTTGCCCTAAATCGGTTTGGCTTCTTGTGTTTCTCTTCAGGATAAAATGAGGCACTTCCCACTGCGATGTCACTGCTGAGTCATCAGCAAAGCAAGTGATGCTCGTATCCTGAAAGGGCCTTCTAGGCAGTGCAGTCCTGGGCAGAGACAAGCTACTCCCACAATTATGAGGTATCTCGTTTTGTTTCTCTTGTTTATCACTGTTACTGTATTGGGTATTAATTAGTGTCTAGATATTTTCATGGGGACATTGAAAATTCAAGGCCAACTCCTTTGCCATGCTAATTTGCTCATATTTTGAAATACTGGGCCAGGTTCATTGCTATGTTCTTCCTACTGATTTTACAGTTCTGTAATCCTTTAAATCAATACAGACGCATTGGAGGAAGGTTATTGTGTGCTAAGCAATTACTGTTGAAATGGATTGCTATTGAAAGTAGTTGTTTCTAGCTCAAGAAGTCACATCAAGTTTTCACCTAATGTGCCCATTCTTTCTTCTGTGCACGTGTTTTCATGTTGAAATTTGCATTTTTTAAAGAAAATAAAAATATTAGGACAGAGGTTGTTGGTGGTGGTGGTGGGTTTTTTAACAGTTTTACAGTCCAAAATCAAAGCCAGAGTAAATTTATGTTTTCTAGGAACATCTACACTGGCCCATGAACAACTGTAAAATAAAACTCAGGTGCTCTGGAGATTTAGTTATGAGGCCTTTCCACCCTTCTGATTTGTCTGATTCTTTGTATGTATAATCAATTTTGAAAAGCTATGCAAAGAGTCTTTCTCGTGGTATTTCAATAGCTGTGTTTCCTGGCCAAGTGCTCAAGTAAAGAGAAGTGTGTTTTGGGGATAGACATACCTGGACTCAAAGGACATATTCAGGCCACCTACCACACGCTCTTACCTTGCAGGTCACAACCACTTCTCACTACTGGGTGGGAAACCAAGGTCCCATAGTCCTCATTAATAGTGTTTGACATTTTTCATTACTTAGACACCACTGTAGTCAGGTAAATCTATCTTGGGCACCAGACTAAATAATAATGAGTAGCCCTCTATAGCAAAATTCCATCAGGAGACATCCTCCCAGAGAGCTGTGATCTGCTGCAGACAAGGCAATTTCCAGTTGTTGTCAGTCTTGCACCCAGTCTGTGAAATGCACATGATGACGCACGCTACTGATTTGTGGAGCTACCCAAGGTGTTTTTTGCCTTTCTGGCTTTCCCATTTTGTTCCCTGAGGTCAGGTAACAGTAAACAGGTCACTGTTTACTGTTTCCACAAGCGGAAAGAACTATGTGGTCAAAGTGCACAATGATGTGCAGGCAAAGCAAGACAGTCCATGTAATTCCTTTATACTGGCATTAAGTTGCAATTACTTCATTCTTGTGATTGACTCCAAGGACGGTAAAGATCGAAGCTATTCTGAGATGCTGTTGACAGGGAAGAACTTGTGCAAGCGCAGACTATGTTGAATATTCATCTTTCATTTGCTTGACTGTCACAGCATGTTCCTGCCTCTTGAACAAAGCAGACACACATAGCAGAGGAGCCCCTGTGACTTGTACCACAGGTCCAGGTAGAGTCTGTTCTGTGGCTATGCTTGCCTGTGTGGGAGAAGAGCTTTATAGCCATCTCTGATTTCACCTCTTGGTTCAGTTATGTTGCATTAGAAACTGTTCAAACTCAAGTGAGGTGTACTACAGTCAGAAAGCCTATAGTCTAACAGGGTTCTGATGCTTTTTTTCTGTTCCTCTGCAAGTCACGTCCCTCAGGCACTGGCATTTCCAGGAGGTGCCGGACAGCACGGCCATGTTGTTTTTCAGTATCGTGAGATACACTGCAAAAAGTCTGTGTTGTTGTAACTCTACTCTTCTTGCATTACCTCGTGGGCAGTTATACTTTCTGCAAGATGCATTTTTCAGGATAGGGAACAGACTCTGCAGCTCAGGGTATAAGCTAAATCAACCTTAAAGGAAAAACAACTTTTCAGTCCCACATTGCTAGAATGACAAAGAAATATCAGAAAGACTAAAAAAGGAGTATCACACAATACCTTCAAATTATCTGATCTGTTTTAGTAACACTAATTTGCTAATGCTAATCTATGCAGCATCTGTCAAGATGTTCGATGGAAACAACAAAGACCTCAAATGGGGACTTCATGAAATCATATTGTTTAGTACCTGATACATAACCCTGCTCTTATTCCAGTCATTTAAAATGAGTAAGTAGCTTTCTCCCTGGACAGGGAGGTGAACACCTAAAGGTTAATTGCAGTGGCTATCTTTTACATGAGCTATAATTAAAAGGCTGGAGTCTTGGGATTTTCCAGATCCTGTTTGCCCTGCCCTGAATTCCAGTGTACAAATGGTTGGCTCACTAGAAATAGGGTGAAGACCCAGAGGGGAGGCGGATCTGATGGTCAGATACCTCGACAGGGATTCAAGAAGTCCTACACTCTCTCCAGTTCCTGACCCACCTTTCTGTGGCCTGGGATATGAGTAACCGTGTTGCAGCTGAGCCAGGTAGCGTGCCTGGGATTTTTGCATTGGCTCCCCCTGACAGGCGCTATCAGCTAACTGCTCCACACGGTTCAGAGCAGATGTGCCATGACCTGCTTTGTTTATTTTTCATGTGCTGCTTGGGGCTTTGGGCTGGGTTCTTTTTCATTTTTAGTTGCCTTTCCTTATATTTTTCCTCCAGCAGGGAAATAAATAAATGAAATAACCATGAGCTGAATCATGATGCTAATGAGACTTGACAGTAGCAGTTTAGGTTATCCAGGTCAGGGCTGGACTGTGCCTGCCTTCTGCAGTTCCCCAAATGAGGTTGCAGTGCAAAGGGGAAAATGGTGAGGGCATGACTGGGTGCCATCCCAGAGTCCAGCTTCTTCAGCTCCTGGCGCTAGGAAGGCACATCTCATTTGAAGTCAGCAGCATCACAGCGAGCCAACGTTTATACCCATCAGCCTGACTGAGCACCATGCGCTGTGCACTGTTATCAAAGCAACATATAGACAAAGGGTGTTTGTTGTCATAGAGTTCCCTAGGTCCTGTTTAGGTTCTCCTATTTGTTATACCACCCAAGCACAGCAAAGAGAACTGCAAGTGCATATCTTAGGTGGCTTCTCAAGGAGTCTGTGCCCAGCCTTCCTGTTAGGGCTCAGGCCGTGAAAGCCGAGAGCCACAAGCGGTGGCTGTCAGCATCAGCTTTCAGCCATCAATCACAAGTGGCAGCATAGTCCAGCTGCTCTGAATCCCCCTTCGTGTGTTAACACTAAGGTACCTTTTGGCAAAGCTAAAAGATAGCCCCCTCTCAGGATAGTTTTTTTGTCTCCCAAGCCCACCTCCGTGCTCTGCTTCCTCAGCTGGGCCTTTTTCAGCAGGCAGCAAGAGGCCTGTCCCTGAGAGGCCTTCCGTGAGCTATGGATCAGGTCCCAGGTTTACAGCCATTTCTTGAGGGCAAAGAGGGAGACGAATGAACTTAGCAGAGAGTGGAAAATGATGTATAAAAAAATGCTGCTGCCTAGATAGAGAGGTCTGTGAGTTATTATCTTCAAATGCAGTCAGCAAAAAGCTGCTCTTTGCCAAGGAAGATATATAGGAAAGCTAAAGGGCGAAATGTGGTTTGTGATGGGAAGGTCATGAATTCAGCTCTGGCGATACAGCACAGTAGAACTGCTACCTCTTAGGCCAGATTTATAGAAGCTGCAGGCTCGTTGAGGTCTGTGGATGTCCATGGAGTTATACAGCTTTTATGCCAGCAGGTGGTGTAGCGCAGTGATATCAGGCCTCCAGGTCCCCCTAGATCACTGGCAAGTAACTACGCAAGTATCCACGCTGTAAGAAACTGGCTAAAACTTAAGTTACATCATCAGGCCTGACACCAGGTGCCTTTGGTGGGGTCTTTGTCTGGTGCCATCATGGGAAAAGCAGAAGTTCCACGTTCCAAAGAGGCTGCGGTACATTTGGCCACTGTCTCTCTGGCATACTGAAAAGACTCTTTCAGGATGGTATACTGAAAAGACTCTTTTTCTGGGAGAAAGACATTTTTACCTGTGCTGAATCCCTTCATGATTTCTACGCTGATACTTTTTTTGCTGAGGTTGTTTAAACAAAGCTGGAAACATCTTCGTCTTTCTGCATATCTAGCTCCCTCTGACACACCTTCAGCTTTCCAGGAACCTCGTGTTTCTCTTCTCTGAGGAACTCAGGCAACTCTTTTGTTATTCTTCCTGTTTCTGTTTAGTGAGCCCTTTTGCTGCATTTTGCAAGCCAGTCACTGTAAGCATGGAAATACCTAGGATGGTTTTGCCTTAATTTCGGGCTCTCTTGGCATCCTGCTGCTGCTGCAGTGCCCAGAGGCCCTGCTGAGCAATAAGGACCACAGCGTGCCAGGCACTGTACGTAAATGGAAGGGAAATGTGTCCCAAAACACTCAAAAACTGCACTTGAGATGAGGGGGCCACCAGCAGAAGTGAAGACAAACAGCACTAGGGATCAGGGCAAGAAGGAGAGGTCAGTTTGCACCTGGCAGAGGAGCAGATCCTCAGCGATACAAGTCAGGACCAGAGCACTGTGACAAGGAAATCAGCTGGTTTCCATCCACTGAGCTCTGCTCCTCCTGATACGCACCAGTTTCTGCTCTCAGCATCACAGACATCGGTTGAGTGAGTTTACCTAAAGCAAGGGGTTCTCTTGTGGCTCCAGTGACAGCAGAGGTGCTGAGAAGTCATTAAATAGAAGAGAAGAAGCCTAGAAGTGGGAAAAAGTGTGGTGACAATTGCAATGGGATAGTTAAGTGGCAGTTGCCATTTGTTACCCAATAATTAAGCAGCTGCAAACAGCTGTGCTGTGAATCCAGCACTCCCACTGTTCCGCCTGCACCAAACATGGATGAACACAAGCAGCCTCTTAATGAGATAAAAATGGAAGCTGTTATTTCCTACCGATGGGTAAGTGTCATTCTTTGGGCTGTTCCCTTTGGGGAAATGATAGAGAAGGGCTGAGCTCTACTCAGAAAGTGGTATAGTGACAGTGCTCCGTATGTTCTTGCACATGCCTTAGAAAAGGAGGGAATTTCCACATGATGTGTGTTTGCTGAAGCAGTGTGGGCTAAAACGTGAGTATTGCCTCAGTCTGCAAATTGTCCCTGTCCTCTGCATCAATTGAG